TTATTATTATTATTATTATTATTGGGTCTGATAAGAGTGGGCTACAGTGAGTACAGGGCCATTAAATCACAGCATCGCGGTGAGAGGACACGGAATTGTGTGCGCTTTTACGCACGCGGGTGTAGGTGATCACGGATATTTGATGTGGGAAAGATGTAGCCAGATGTATTACCTGTACCTGTTGACATACGTGGTTGTCTGTCCGTCCGTCCGTCTGTAGCACAAGTCATGTGTGCCATTTCACCACCGACCCGTGCGTAAAAGCATAAACAGTCCCTCAGTCCTACAGGCAGGGAGAGGGCAGCTCGCGAGGGCTGTCCCTCCTTGAGGCAATGAATGAGGAAATAATCGCCCCGGCGTTTAATCGGACCGGCGTAATAACAGCAGAAGTGTGACTAATGATAACAGCAGCAGCAGGAGGCATCTGGCAGGACCACAGCAACTCTTGTAGGCTGAAATCAAGACGATCACATTAACCAGTGTGCAATCATCAGACTTGACAATTATCACAGGAAACAATCTTTGTTATATTGAGATAACAAAATAATAAGTCGTTATCACGAGATAACAGTGCACACACACACACACAAAAAATACATGGCCGTTCTCGTCTTCCGTAGCTATGTTGTCTATGTAATAATATGTCGGTTATGCCCAGGTATTGAATCAAATGTGTTTTAAGACATTTTTGCTTAGTTCACCTTATTGTCTATTTGTCTCATTGTGTTTCATGGACACGGCGATGTGAATAGCGCTGTTTCAGCTCATTTCTGCTCACTTTTGAGGACTTCCGGGTCTGTTTTCCTCTGCTGAATGAAACCATGGCGACACGAAATGCGGGTACCTTAATGGTGTAGCGCGATTACGTGACGGCCGTGACACCATTCGCGTACCAAATCTCATTATGCTCAGGCAGAACAGATAATTATGCTCAAAAGGAACAAGTGCCGAATTACGACCCTGATCGGGGGGTGGGGGGGGCCTCACCTGCGCACAGCGGTGATGGTCTCTCTGTTCTTGAAGCGGCTGAAGCGAGCCGTGTAATTCAGGGTCTTCATGAAGACCTCGGAAAGTTCCTGTTCGTCCTCGGCGCTCTCGTTCTGCTGCTTTCTGTGTTCCAGCAACATGTGGACCTCCGAGTTCAGCAGAGTCTCTGCGTTCTCAAACTCTGTCACAACAACAACAACAACAACAACAACCAATCAGAAGAGCCGGCGACCATATTTGTAGTTCTGCAACAGTTTAAACACTGTAGCCACCCACCGAGGGAGGAAATACTTACACAGTTTTACTTTGTGGTGACAGAGTACTTTAACGATGTGGTAACAGAGTACTTTAACGATGTGGTAACAGAGTACTTTAACTGTGTGGTAACAGAGTACTTTAACGATGTGGTGACAGAGTACTTTAACGATGTGGTGACAGAGTACTTTAACTGTGTGGTAACATAATACTTTAACGATGTGGTGACAGAGTACTTTAACGATGTGGTAACAGAGTACTTTAACTGTTTGGTAACAGAGTAGTTTTACTGTGTGGTAACAGAGTACTTAAACTGTGTGGTAACAGAGTACTTAAACTGTGCAGTAACAGAGTACTTTTACTGTGTGGTAACAGAGTACTTTTACTGTGTGGTAACATAGTACTTAAACTGTGTGGTAACAGAGTACTAGATATAGTACTACTAGTACTTATATATTTACCGTGACAGAGTATTTGTACTGTGTGGTGTTATTACTTGATCTACTGAAGAACTTAAACTTTGACCTTTTACTGAATTAAAAGAATAAAACTTACTCATGTTAAGGACAAAGATCATGAACACTGTGTTTTATTGGATGAAGGGAGATACCCCACTGTAGGCTTATCCAATGTTAAGAAAACGGTTACTCTTCCTGTCTCCTAAGTGGGCGTGGTTAACTCTCCCTCCAATCAGAGCCTGCTCCCCCCCCCACCACCACCACAGTGTTGAACAGAGGCTCTGTGGATGTCTGTGTATGTGGATCGAGAAGCAGGTGGAATGAAAATACATTCTTCCTATTATTGCAGCCTATTGTTGCACAAAGCTTGGGCATTTTTTATTTATTACTAGCGGTAAATAACTGTTTGTAAGCTAACTGTGATTTTACCCCCTGTTTATCAAGATCACAAGATCTCGCGAGAACTTATTTTCTGAGACGGACAGGGCTCAAACAAAGTTAATTTTCTCTTGATCTGTGCGGATGAAAAATGCAGCTTTAGTGTCAGAATGTTGGTAAGATGTGTGGCTTGTGGAAAATGAACCCAATATTTACTTTAGTGACTACTGGGCGAAAGAATTGACCATAAATTGTGATCACGTTCATTTTCCTCATTGACGACAATACATTCAGAGCTGCCGCAAGTCTCCTACGGGGGCGTGGCGCTGACGTCACTGAATCAGGAAGTGAGCTGAGTGGGGTATCTCGCTTCATCCAGTATCTCTGGCAGGAATCAGTTATAAATAAAGTTTCATTGACGACAGTAGGAATCAGTTATAAATAAAGTTTCATTAACGACAGTAGGAATCAGTTATAAATAAAGTTTCAGACCGACCTTTAGGAAACAGCAGCTGTGAAGCATCTTCTTCAACATCTCCGACATGAGCAGGAGCCGCGCCGCCTCCCGCCGCCATGACACCCCACAATACCGGCTAACGGCTAACGGCTAACAGTCACCAGAGAGGACACCAAACGGCGGACGGTAACGGCTACAGTCGGTACCGGAGGTTCACCACAGAGTCCCGGAGAGTCCCGGCGGTCTGACGATGGTCTGTGCGGCCTCAGACAGTCTAAACTCACGGAGTCAGTTTCAGCTCGGCGCCTTTCAGCTACACAAAAACACCAACTATCATTTCCGTTTCTCAAACCAATCACATCCGCCTTCAAAATAAAAGCAGCAGCAGCCCACAGCGCCCTCTGTCGGACACCGTACAGAGACTTAATGACACGCAGTTTGGAAGAACAGGATAAAGTTTCTTAGCTGTGACTTGGTCTGTTGTTCGAAACCTAGATAAGGGATTAAGCAGGGACATGTTGGTTATCCTGGCTTAATTTAGCGTTGATTCTGTTGTTTGAAAGCAGAGGCACATATGTTGCCATGGAGATTTATTCTGTGCACTTAGCCTGGTCCCAACCAGGTTAACAACCAGGCTTAGTTTAGCCTGGTGCCTTATCTGTCCAGTCAGCTGTCACTGCAATCGGAAATCAATGTGTTTTACCGTCATTTCATGTTCTTATACGTATTTGCCTCATTTTTGAACAAAATACATTAAGCCTACAATAATAATAAAAAAAAACAAACATTTAACATTTAAAACATTCATTTTGTCACAGCCCAAACATACTTTGACATGCACATATCTTTACCAATAAAATGATTAATTGTTGGAATAAACATACAAGTAGGTGTATTTGGCATTAACACAATTAGTGGTTATTAGGTTTCATAACTGTATGACCTTCCCAAATTATATTCCCACTTAACTGGACCAATAACTCCAGTGTAGTACTTTACATCAGTGAATGAAAACATGAAGATGAAACCACAATATTATTTGACCTCATTTTATTTAAATGAAAAATACTGTAATCAGTCACTGTCTGCTTTGAGCTGTGGAGAGAAAGAGAGAAATAATATTGATTAATACATTGCATCACAGTCATGCTTACAATGTGCATTAAAGTCACTTACTTCTTTCTGTAGTTTCTTAATTTCCAAGTCCAGTTTCCTTAAGGTCTTTATTTATTTGTCTGTCAAGCTCCATGTCCTGCAGCTTCCTCTTTTCACAATGGAGCTTGACATCTGCCAGTGCTCTCTGCTCCCTCTGATGACTTGCTTTTATCTTAAGCAATTTATACTTTTTACAAAAACAAAACATGAAAATACAATCCTGCTGTAAGCAACTATTTAATAAGAGCTGCAAAAAGCAGCTATTTTAACAAAAAAAACCTTATTAAGGCAACAATTGTAACTAAAAACGTGCTATAAAAAAGTATGACAAATAATGTGATTAGTCACTGTCTGCTTGGAGCTGGGGAGAGAAAGAGGAAAATAACTGATTAATTGTGTCATGCTTACAGTGTGCATTAAAATCACTTACCTCTTTCTCTAGTTTCTTAATTTCTAAGTCCAGTTTCCTTAAGGTTTTTCTTTTAATTTGTCAATTTGTCTTACACTGCAAGACAATCCAAAGTCAGACAATCCACATAACACCACTGGTTGATTAATGCATGAATAAAATGATTGATTCCATGTACAGTAGTTCTATACTGGAATAATGTACCTTGTATGAAGAGGGCGGTTTCCCCCCCTCCCTCCTCATCATCGGCCTGCTCGGTTCTGATCCAGGGCGAGCTCTTCTGCTGGTGTGAAATCAGCAGTTGGTTCCCGAGTAATATTATATCTACTGCTCATCTTTAAGGTGAAGTGTACAACTGTTCATTTGTGAAAGGAACTTTAATTGTAATTTTGACAGATTCATTTGCGCCGCAACTGTATATTTTTAGCTGACTTAGGCATTCAGTCGGTCCGCAATTGTTTGCCAGACATTTTCTCTCTGCTTTATTATCGCTGCAGTGTTTCCTTTCTTCGTTTCTTATATGTTTTACCTCTTCACAAGTGTCCATGATCAGGCGCTGCTCACTGGGTGAGAAGTATGTGGCACGCATCCTCTCCATTGCTGCATCGGCGAATCTGTGGTCGATCTCGGGGTCTATTTAAGAAAGCCAAGGACGCACACTCACCTGAATAAGTTACACCTGGCTTGACAAAGCCGCGTCTCCTCAGCCTGGCTTGGTGTTCGAACAGCCAATGAAGCCAGGATGGACTTAGGGGAATTTGTCCAGCCTCGCTTTTCCACTTATCCTGGATTGGTTTATTCTACTTTTGAACAACAGGCCCCGGGACTCGACCCTGGTGCTAAACACTGACTCACAAACACATACAGTGCACATCTTTTTTTTTTTCTTTTTTTTTGTCTTTAAATTTCGTATTACAAAACCAATCAATCAGTGCCAACAGGTACATGAGTCATTTTACAGACAGGTAAATAAACGTAAATAGAAAACATGTAAAAAAAAACCCAAAAAAAAACAATACAACTACATTACACCATAAATACATAATAAAAGTAAAATATAAACAATAATTCAAGAAAAACTATTAAACTGGGAGCACAGATCCAAAGTTTTAACAGCCTTCTTATTCTTTGCAGAGGATATTGTTTTAAAATATAAATCCATTTCTTTTTTTAAAAACAATAAAGAGAGGTTTTGTACGGCTACATTTACATTATGAATATAAAACTTGGCAATAAAAATAAGATTAATTACAAAATACTCTTTTCTTGTAAGAAGGGTTCTTACAAAAACAAAGAATACATTTTCCAGTAAAAGTTACAAATTATATTCTCCAAGATGAATCCACACGTCTTGCCACAGTTTATGGGTATGTATTCATTTCCAGAGCAGATGGACAAGAGTGTCAGTATGAGAATCACAGAAGGCACAACTTCAGTCAATATCATTTATGAATTTAACAAAAAAGACCTTACTGGATAACAAAGGCGATGATTTTAAACAACACTTCTTTAACCTTACTGAGCAAAAAGAATTTGTGGGAGAGTCCAAATCTTTTTCCAGCATAGGTTATCTACACGGCTATTCCAAACGGCTACACCAGGTGAACCACAAGCAATATCATGTTGAAACAGAGCACGGATCTCACTCTTGTTTTTACAACCTGAGGAGTTAAAGCACACTTTTACAACTGGTGAGTCAGTTACATCAACAGAAGCAACAACATCTGTATCTGAAGCTGATATCAAAGTACAGTTTTTAAACAGCATAGATACACCGGATGGGATCGCATCAGAGACCATGTTTATAGCGGGGTGGCAGAGCTCAGTATTTTTCTAAAATCCTTCATCTTTGTGATAAAAGCACCAAATTTGTCAGATGTGTTGACAAATACATTTAGAATAAATCTGGATGTTGGGGCATCAGAAACTCGCCCCCTGGTGTCCAGAACAGGTGATTGAGTCCTACCTGCCCATGGACCTATCCTGTTAATTGGAACCACTCCAAAATGTAATGGCCTCTAAGTTGGACCATGCTACATGCCTCCACCACATTTTGTGAAAATCGGTCCGGCAGTTTTTGTATAAATCTGCTAACAAACTAATAAATTGTTCATTTTTGTGATAAAAGCAAATTTGGTTCATTTATATCTTAATATACTGGAATACCCCCAAGCTGCTGTTACCATGGTTTCAGCACCACAAATATAATGTAGAGACCAGTTAAAGTGAAAAACATGTTTGATTCTAATGTAGGACAAGACATCCAACACAATGGTGAGATTTAGAGTTATTTATGAGGCCATTTCACAACGTTCAGTGAACATACTTAACAGTTACACTGTAACACTTTGAACATATGATCTCTAACTAGTGCGGCGATCTGCGGCAATGTGGAACCTTAATAACGCAGCTGGGTTTACAACGACGCCTCGAATATCGTGAGACAAGAAGAAAAAAAGGGGGAAAACATTCATAGGTCACAGTGTCACCATCACTGTGATCAGGAGGACATGGAAGTGGTTCTTTGAAAAATAGACATCTGATTTTGTAAAGTATGTCTCTATTGTTCCATATAGAATATCGGTGCAGTGAAAAATTGTGCCTGTATATCACAGACCATGCAAACAGTGCTTGTCTGTGAAGTTAGAAAGACACACAGGAATCTTTTCAATGTTATAACTGCACGCTTAATCCACCAATTTCAGAGAATATATAATTGGGAATACAGTTCCATATTGAATCTGGACTTTTTAAGAATTATTGATCCGGTTAATCTTGAACTTGTTGTTCAAAGGGTTGAAATCCAGAAAATTTAGGTCCCATTCTCATATGTATTCATAATGAATGATTTTTTTATGTAATGTTTTATTTTCCAAAAACAATTTGAAGAGTAGCTGGTCTATGACTTTGAGTGTTTTATTATCAACATGTAGTGAGAGAGCAGCGTGTGTTAGCCTTGAAATGCCCCCGGCTTTAGTTGTCAAAGTTCTACCTTTCAAAGATAGATCCCTGAGAAGCCACTGATTACATTCTCTTTCTGCTTTTTCTATGACTGGGATAAAGTTGAAAGTACTTCTAGTTTTTTGACACTTGTTGATAGAAATACCCAAGTATGTCACATGTCTTCAATAGGAATGTTTGAAATTGAGCCAAGTTGAGCTGAGTCTTTGACTGCTAATAATTCACGTGTTTACATTCAAGTATTGCCCAGAAGCTTTAGAGAATAGCCTACATGAATAACATCAATAGCACAATGTATTTGAGCAGAATCTTTAAAAAAAAAAGTAGTGTCACCTGCCAGCTGGCTAATCATGATTTCTTGCTCTGCTATTTTAATGCCTTTCAGGGTGCTTGTTTTAATATGACTGGATAAAAGCTGGGTGACGAGGAGGAAGAGGTAGGGAGAAACCAGGCAGCCCTGTCTGATCCCTCCTCTCACATCAAATCTTACAGTGTAGATCATCAGGTCTCTGACTGTGACTGATCTGTGTCACTGAGGAGGTTCTGTCAGGTGGAAGTGACGTTTTAATCCACTACACCACATGTTTACTGTGTTTACAGCAGTCACCGTGGTACTTTTTATAGTATTGCAGGACTTAATGTAGTATTCTATTTCATACAGTGGTACTCAGTGTAGTACAGCAGTATGTAATGTAGTACAGTAGTATGTAATGTAGTGCAGTAGTATGTAATGTAGTGCAGTAGTATGTAATGTAGTACAGTAGTATGTAATGTAGTACAGTAGTATGTAATGTAGTACTGTAGTATGTAATGTAGTGCAG